CCCGTTAACCTACCCCTTTCTTCCATTCTCGTGATCGCTGACCCTGATCCCTATGTGTTTCTATTACCGGAGGATATGACTGCAAAACAACGGCAACCATAACGGCAACAATAACATTTCATTACCATTGGACAGATGGGCATTTCAATATACCAATCAAAACAGACGTACACATACAACCCACTAGCTTGAGTCTTATCCGACTAAGTTTCGGAAACTGTGCATCCATGTTGTCTCCAATCTCTTTATCTACCCGTCTTAAATAATGCATATTTCCACTGGAAGCAATTCTTGAAGTGAAATTTCATCTTGACTAACAAACTGTGCACATGGAATCCCGTCCGAACGAAACACAACACGTGTATTTCAATCTGGCATTTCCACCGACCAGTAAAACAGGTATTATTATAATGTGTATTCTCTTGTCTTGTGGAGTTATATTCAATGTCTACACGAGCATCACTTTAGTGAAGATTAAAATCTACTCTCTACTATCCAAATTACTGTTATACACAGGAAACATGGTGGACGTGATGTTTGGTATACTGTCGATCGCCATGTTTGCTTCGAACAATTATACACTGCCCTGTCCTGATGGACCGGTCAATCCTGGTGTATGTTTTCTTTTGCAGAGTGGGTTTATCAGTCGCATATTACGCATAATGGCCGTGTGCATTATTGTATTCCAATCGGTTGACCGGTTCTGGGCCATTGTGTATCCGAAATCCTATAGGAAAAACACAATTCTCTATGTCACACTCAGTTACGCGATCATTATCTGTTACGCTCTACTGGGCTCCATGACACGCTTATTGCGAACGGCGGCTGTAGACGGATCGTGTCAACTGCGCACGTTTCTGATCGATTCGAGAACTGAAAGCTTGATTGAGAGCTTGCTTCGTTACGTAATCCCGATGAGTATGCTCATTACTGTGAATGTACTGGTGATACGCAAGCTTCATCACCTTCACGGTTTCCGGTTCCAAACGGGCACCTTGTGTCGTCTGTTTCAAGACACGCAGACCGAAGAGGCTGCTGGCCCCAGTGAGGCACCAGATTCTATCACATTAGTACAACGCACAATTTTTCTCAGCACAATCTGTCTGTCCATCCAGCTGACGGTGCTCGAGTTGATTTCATTTTCGCTCATCATATTGAGCAGTTATCGGATTGTGGATTTTAGCATCAATTCGACCACGCGAATGTATTTTGTGTTTGTGTTGGCTTTAACTTCGGTTTTCAATCCGTATCTGGAAATTCTAACCATCAAACCACTTCGAATGGAGATGCTCAATCAATGGCGCATTGCGATCCAGCGATTTTGTGGCAGACACACTGAGACACTTGATTGAGTGATCAATCCATCCATCCGTCAATGAGTCAGTTAATCAACCAATAAGTCAATCAATCAATCGGTGAATCAATCAACTCATCATGCGCTTATTATTTTAAGAAAACTTTAGGCGTCATTTACGTCAGACGATTTCTCGTATCTGTGCATTTTATTTCCAAGTGTGTACCATTTCACAATAATTGTAGATCTGTTTCTTTCCCAGTAAATGGATTCATCTGTATGTAACTTAGTTCCCGTGAATCGGGATGCGAGCGGTTGAAATTATATGAGGTCTTTTGGAAACCGTTGCGTCAATAGAATTTGGATGATGATCAGTCAAGATCAGTTTTGTTTGTTTTGTTATGATTACTCTATTTTTGTGCAATTTTACCACTCATTTTGTTCATCGACCAGATTGATGAAAGTTGCATGAAAAACACGATCGATGGCCACCGGGGTATGATGAAGTAATTTCTTTGATATATTTTCATTGTGAATTTCAAGAAGTCAATGACAAATGTCCCTAAAGATCGCATTGAATTGAGTTGCATCCGCCAAACTGCTGTTTAAGTGACTCATTTGAGAATAAAGCCCTGTCGACGTTTGGATTGGAACCCACACTCAAAAGCCGCTTACGTCTATGTAGAACATCCGGTGTACTAGCTGATCTATTTGACTAGTTGTCTGTTAATAGCCGGCTCTTAGCAGCCTCAGCAAACTATCGCAATCGCTCAGTCTTTTTATTCTTAGAGGTACACATTCGGAAATCCTAAACATGTTCCACAATCTTTAGTTGTTGGGCGCAGTTTGTACAACAGTTGCAATAAAGTGATAAACATACGAACATACTGTTCAAGAGTGATGAGGTGAGTAATTTGTTAGAGCACAGTCTAAGGTGGTCCATCAAACGATCATTTAACACCGGCGAACCAGTTTCCGTCTACACACCGGCGGCTTCTCCATTCCAGCAACTTCTGTCGCAGTATGCCAAATCTCATCAAGTGTACCAACTCGTCTGTGGGTACTGGGCTACCTACCTGAAGGGCACTGTACGGCAGATTAGACTAGGAGTAGTCGAACAAATCACTGTGTGGGTTAACAAGCTGGTGAACGAATCACACCCAAATGATCAAGGTCAACCGAACGCCACACGCCAGCGGCATCAATCGTTCGGCACGCGTTAGAGACTGGGCGTCAAGTAAACGTGACCACGGCATTTATAAGTGTACGCGAAATTCTCGATGATTGTCATAAAATGATGGAAACGTGAGCTGGGCAAGCCTTGGTAGAAAGCTAGTCGACGGTAACACCAACGGCACATACACGGTAATTGTTACTTTTCAGTTTTCATTATAGTTATACTGTAGTATTTACTTGAACAGATATAACAAACCTTTTCCTGAAATAACCTGTGCAACTTTGTGTTGCCGTGGTCTTCATTCAAAAACATGCCAGAGTTCGGCTAGTTCAAGTTAGACTCAAACATCACTCACTTGTTCAGTAAAATCAATTTCAACATCTTTTCACGCACCAACTGTGTGACGCAACTGTTTGCCTGAGAGAGATTTATCAATTTATTCACTCAACCCATGACAGAATAAACGGATACAATATATGCTGCCGACTGATGTCAATAGAGCTGAATATGCTGGTCATATTCAACTGCCTGCTCGTGACTGAAATGAACAGTCATTTAGGTAGAATACACACGACTACTGGAAAAAAAAGTTCCCGGATGCACAAAACATTTTTATCACCTCCAAAACTAAGCATCGCATTTTCTCGAAGTATTCTGCGCCAGGATTCGTATACAGTCCCAAGCGATCAAACCATTCGGTGAATCAGCTCGACCATACCGAGACGGGTGACCCTTCGGCCGGTTCAATTGAAAGCATCCACCGCAGCTGTTGGGGACTGGTCTTGCGGATTCCATGCATCGCGCGCTTGATATTTAGGAACAGAAAAATTCACACGGAGCCGAGTCTGGACAATAGGGTGGGTGAACACGCTTATTGATGCGTTCGTTCTCTAGCCAAAACTGGTCGACAACATGGGACGTGTGTGCAGGTGCTTTGTCATGATGCAGGAAGGTCTCTCGTGTTCGAGTCCTTAGATGATGCCAGGACTTCGGCAGATAGTGGGTCCCGTACCAATCTCCAGTGACTGTGCTTTGCTGTACGAGTAATACAAAAGCCAAATGATCGGTTCTGATCGTGAACACAGCCACCATCAGCTTTGCTACATTGCACTCTCGAAGGAATTTGTGAGCCGGTTCCCCACCAACCATCCTGCAATGAACCGGTTGTTGTTCGGTGTCTGGGTCGGGTCTCCTCACCACTGATTATCACGGGGTCGACGGTATTGGCAACCGGGCGGTTGCAAAAAGAACAATGGGGTCGGCAGCTTATTAGGTGTGCTTTATGGCCCAGTTTAGGCGTTTGATAATCTGGCAGCTGATATCGTCACCCCTGAAGGACAGTTACAGGACGAGTTTAATCTTGTCTGCACCTTGTGTCTTTTCCCGTGTACTGTTTGGTTGCGAGTGCTTTAGGATGAACCATTTCGGATATCCATTAGATTGTAAACCTGTTCTCATCTTGCCACATTCGTTATCCAATGTATCGGTTGTGCAAATCAATCGCGCCCTGTAGAAGAGCGTTCGAACGAGACCAATCTTACAACTTATATGTTATATCTTACATGTTCGATACAAGGGGCATTGATTCGCGAATCCTCGGTGAAACAATTAGGACCGAGCGGGAGTCAAGCGCCACAGATGGACGGGTTGCCAAAGCTACACAAAGCAGGCATTCCACTGCGATCCATTATGTCTACGTGCAACTCGCCATAACAAAAGCTAGCCAAGTGGTTAGCAGAAACTGTAAAACCGATGCGAGATACCATTTCCCACTGCAATGTGAAAGACAGTTTTCAACTGTGCACATTATTGCAGGAGAGAAACAATAAAAACCAATATACGGTTACTATGGATATAAATGCACTATTCACCGACGTCCCCCTACTGGTGACCATTGCGATTATTCGTCAAACTATGGAAGGAAAGAACTTTCGAGTTGAACAACCGGCGTATGAGCTGGAAAGGCTTTTGTTGTCCTGCACCCATGATGTGAAATTCTCCTTCCTAGATGAACGATATCAACAGATAGATGGAGTCAATATGGGCAGTCCGCTGGGACCCATTATTGCGGACTCTTTCGTTGAACATCTAGAACGTCAATTGAGGGAAGAAATTAAAAAGCTGGACCTATACTGCCTGTGTGTTGATGATTTATTTATCATTTATGATGCAAAGGAAGACGGGGAAAGATTATTCGAACACTTGAATAATCTTCACCCGAACATAACCTTGACAGGCCACACTGAAACGCAAGACAGCATCGCTCTTTTGGATGTGTAATTTCCACATCGAGCGGAATGTATCAATCATAAGATCCGTGTACCGAAGAAGAACATGATGCGGACAATATCTCCATTATAATAGCTTTCATCCAACAGGATATATCGTCGGTCTCGTTTTAAACGCTCGTTTACTGGGCGCGACTAATTTGCACAACCGATACATTAGATAACGAATATGGCAAGATGAGAAAAGTTTTACACTCTAATCGATTTTTGTGGATGTTTGTCCGTCTTCATTTGCGGACCGGACAGACAATGGCGTTACCGAGTTACCGAGCACATCCCGGTCTGGCTTCAGAAAACATTGGGTGGGAAATTCGGAAGTATGCGATCACCAATGACCCGTAGGAAACTCAGTTCATCCATCCCACAACACCTGGTCGAAATGAAACACTGTGTCATGCTGCGCGACGCGTTCAGAATCCTCTACAATACAATCACACCAAAGCACTGAAATACACCGAGGCACTAGCCATTTAAAATTACCGTCCCACACTGCGTAAACAGCGTGAATGGCTTATCACTCTGGTGCTCCGTTGGTAACAAATTTGTTTGGTGAGAAATTTTGACCGCAATCTTTCTCCGCCGTCGATTCTCTTATTTACTGACCATATATTCCTGATCACATAGACTGCAGTATGCACGTGTACAGATGAAGCGGAAGGATCTAGGATACATTGGCAAATCTGTGTTTTTGGATTCTGCAAACATATTTCCACCCGTCGACATGATCGTTTGCTCCTTAAACGAAAACCAGAAAAAGGTTTTATTTGTTTATTCATCAACGCTCTGTTCACTCTGGTCTCGTATTCGTCATGGAACCAGCCATTTTAATGACTGTAAACCACAACTAATATATATCAAGTGCGTATTATAGGATTTGGTTTTATTCAAAAGGGGAACTGGTCGTGAACATCTCAAAATAAGTGTGAACTGAAGAACTAGGAAGCACTGTACAGCTGTTTCTACCCAATTGGGTCTCATCAGCATGAGATCCCGAGTCCGAACCCCATTTAGTTTGATGGATTCGCATTGTTGATGAGATCCAACCATGTGAAAACAGCTTTCCAGTGCTTTCTAGTTTTTCAGTTCACGCTTTATTGGCTATATACACGAAGAATTCACCTGTGAAACAATTAACATATTGTAACCTACAGGATGTGGCCCAAAGCTGTCACTAATGCATTGACTTCGCGTAACAGATTCCGAGTTACTGGAAATAATACCACTGTTAGAATGCTGCAAACAAACCCACTTTTGGGTGCCAGACCAACATGTTGTGACACCAATCAACTCCCATTCTACGTGTACCCTTCCTCCTTAGCATATCATAGTTTAACCACACCAAGGGCATTTCTTTGCTCAGCGCGTGTTTGCTTTCACTTTCCGCACGCTTGCTCACACTTCCGCATCTCCGTAGATTATCACAATGCAACCGTCTTCCGTTTCGTAAATTATCTCGTTCTGCTTTTCAAACGAACGCTCGTTCGCGATATAGAAGTATTATCTCGGGGTACTAGTAAGCCAGCGCCTACAAAATCAGAACCGCAACACGGCGTAAACGTTCTCAATTCACAGGCAAGGAACACTTCGGAGCAC